GCCGCCTGGGTACCACCCCGTCGCACAGCCCGGCCCCGCGGCCCCCGGGGACACGAGTGACCGGCGAGAAACTGGGTGAGCTCTGCCAGATCCCCGCATTGGTGTGAAACGCCAGGGCTGTCAGCGGATCCCCGGAGACACGCCAGTGTTGACGGAGGGGTGATGCCTTCACAGATCGTAAGGTTTCTTCAGGGGAACTAAAATCGTAGGGAGAGAACTTTCCAGGGTTGCCCGGTCTGGCTTTGCAGAGGTTCCTGCTCGGCAGCTTCTGTAAAGCTCCTCCCTTGCCTGTGGCAGGCAGAGTTTCCAACAAATGCAATTACTCATGCTGCCAAAGATAGAATTACAGAGTTTCACACCTTGAAAACACTGCACACCTGCTCACGTACTCAGACCCTTCTCTTGTTTTCAACTTAAACCATGGTTAGTGAGGCACCATTTTCTCCCTAATTTTTAAAGGAAACCTGGGGAGAAATGGTAAGGAGAAAGTGGAGATTTGGGGCAGGGGCATAAACAAATAGGATTTTAATTAGTTTTGAAAGGTGGAAACTGCTGGTTTGCAGTCCTAGCAAGGGACACGTTTGTTTTACTCACGTTATTTTGAAAAAGCCAGTTTCCTATGTGTTCATCTTGCCTCAGAAGCAAGCCTTCCCTCTAAAAACATGCCAGGTATCACGAATAGGGCAGAGTATCACTGATTCCTTGAAACTCTGGATTACTGTGTTTTAGGCAATCCAGATTAGAATTTGTTGCCAGGTACTCTTAGAATAACCTTTCAAGCTGTTCCTGCTTGTAAGAAATTAGAGTCCTCCTCCTCCCTGAATTTGACGTTCGAGAACTGTGATGATGAAGATAAACACCTAACAACATCTGTCATACATTGTGATAATTGGCCATATGCATTCTCTTAGCCCATCCCACTGGCAAAGTAATGCATTTCAGATTAAACCACCTACCAGATCATTTGTGTACTGCCTTCATGGTGTTTTAAACTCCTAAATTCTGTACCTGATGCGGAATAGGAGCATACGTGCGGAGAGCTGCCATGGATCAGATGACAAGTAGGAGCTTGGAGAAGTGATGTAGACCTTTCACAAATGCCTGTTTCTCTCTAGGGCCACAGCTAAAGAAGTGCTTTGGTCTGTATCTGTTAAACACCATCTTTATGCCTGCCCTTGGGGTCTGTGCGCACCACCACACCTCCTGGCATTGTGCCGGGAATTCGCCATGACGTGTTCTCGGCTTCCTGAGCAAATGTGGCTTTCAGCGTGCAGGACATACAGTTAAGATGTGCTCCACCACCACGCCCAAAAAAATGGTTTTATATTTGCATGGAACAATTTGCTGATGAATTTGAGCTGAAGACCAACTGTCCCTTCTTCTCATTGCAGAGAACTCAAGCCACGGGAAGCTGCCTGAAAGCAAAGGCAGAGTGAGCAGCTTGCTCCACAAGCCGGAGTTTCCAGATACGGACATGATGGAAGTCCTCATCTGAGCAGAGGACGGCATCTCTGGGGTTTCATGTGCATACAGCTGTGTCCAAGGTGGTCCTCGCTCTGCTAACCTTAAAAACTAACCCTGAGAGTTTGAAGAAAGAGCAAGTTTGTGCCCGAAACGAAGCCTGAGTCTGGTATGTTGAGACTTTGGACCAGGCGAGAAGTGAAGAGCGCTGAACAGGAGCGATGAAATGAACGTCTGGGATTTTCTGAGCAGAAAGGGGTGTTGAAAATGGAATGTGGCGTGAGAAGGGGATCGTTGAGGGAGAAGGAAACTGCATTTTCTGGTGTAAAGAGAAGGTAGCAAAGTTACAGACTGGGTGCGAACTGCCGCTCTGTTATCCTGCCTCTCCGCAGCTGGGACAGCGAGTGAAATCCCGGCTCTTCTGAGGCCAGGGGGAGTCTGGATAACCCAAGAGAAACTTGCATCTTCCTCAGTATCAATTCATTTCTCAGAAGTATTCACTGTGTAATTTCGGTGAATAATTGGTCGGTAGATGTGCCCGGCCGGTTCTTGTAAGTATTTGTCCGAAGCGGTGTGGTTTTCCTGGGCAGGTCAGGTGCCTCTCTCCTGGCTGGACCAGTGTAGCTCTTGGATCTGGATTTACAGTGCAAATATTCGTGTCTTGCAACCTCCGAGCTTGCCAAGACTTCTTTTTTTGGTCGGAGCAGTTGTTGGCTGGAATTCCCATGGAGGATGAGAATAGAGGGGGGAGGAGGACCCTGCTGAAGCAGTCCCTTTTGTAAGGGTGGGGAGGTGTCAGGAGGGGAAGGGGGGGGGGGCTGGGGGGGGATCCCGGCAGCTCCCGGCAGGGCTCTGCGGTGCAGAAGCTCGTTCAGAGGGGGTTGCGTGGGTGCGTTTCCAGTGGGGTTAAGCTGAGCTTGCGTGTGAGATCAGAAGATGCCTCTAACTGTGCCCTGGTTCATAGCAGCAGAAGAATCAGTGTTTTTGTGGTAAGAACAGGATTTTTGCTTCTTTTCAGTGCCTACACCCAAATCCTTGCTTGTATGCTTCCTTGAGCATACAAACCTGCCGTTGAAGCTGATGTGGGACTGGGCATCAAGGGGTGTAGGATCAGGCCAGGAAGACTTTAACTGCAAAGCAGAGCATGGGCATCGTCTGTTCTCTGTGCTGAGCTGCGGTTTCTTTTCACCTTGTTTTACCCTGGACAGAACGTTTCTCATTTTCGGCTCAGTCCCCGATTTCGGTAAGAGGCGGCGGCTGTCTGTAAGAAGGCCAACTCACCAGCTGTGTGAAGCACGGCGTACGATTTCCTTCACGCATTGCACATGCTGATGGGGAAATCTTCCTCTCTGAGGTATTTTTGTATTGGCTTTGCGGTTCCTGAACCTTGTGGTGCACGGTAACGGCATTGGGAAGAACCTGGCTTTCGGAAAAAGGGCGATGGGCTTTGATGTGAAGCTGCCTAGAGCGGAAGAATGATGGGTGCTGGAAGTAATCATGTGCGTAGAGCTGGCTCAGGGTCACCCCTTCCGGCAGGTACCCAGTTGGAGTCCTTGATTGTGAGGACACCAGGCACTTGAAACACTGCTTTCACTGAAAACTGAAGTCCTTGCAACCTCAGCGCCCGCAGGGGCCAGAGCCCTGCACTCAGTACTGCCTGGCTGATACCTTCTTTTTAAAAACAAAAATGCGATGTTAAATCTATGCACTTGTTTTTGTGTGTACGTAGAATGAGACGTGTGTCGGTGTCTCCCTCTTTGTGGTTTTTGCACTTGTTAAACGAAGTAGTGGCGGGCAGGTTGTGCGGGCAGGCGACCTGTGTGTTCTGAGTATTAGCAGCTTTGCATTGTGCAACCAAATGTGTAAAACCCTTGGAAGATGTTACGCAGCTTAATATATGCCTTGTAAAATATTTTTTTTTCTCTAAAGTTAATTTAAAGGTTGTAAGTGTTTGCATAAAAGCCGGGCCCGTGCGTGGCAGCAGCGCTGACCCACCTCTGTTCCTCTTCCTGGGGTGTCTGTGGTGGGAGCGGGGCAGGAGGAAGACGAGGCAAGGGAATACAAGTAAAATGATGGTGAAATATTTCATTTCATCATTTTCCTCCAAGAAATAAGTACACCCAGGTGCTTGGAAGCCCCCAAGCATTTTATTACTGGCTGTGTTATTTCTTTTGATGAAACTATTTAATAATTTGTGTACAGGCAGACAGCTAGGCGTCCAGCAGAAGCAGTGTTGGATCAGCGTGTGTGATGGGGCTTTCAGTTGTGTTTGGTAGTGGTGCAGCTCAGCTTCTCCAGGTCAGCTGGAGTACAGCGCTCCTCCTCCTCCTCCTGCTGCTTGTGGAGACCACAGTCCCTCCAGGTTCTGTGTCCCAAGGTGTGTTTACAACCGGTGCTCCCCAGATTCATGGTCACATAACAGAAAACTGTTCCTTAGACACTACGGCGTAGGCAACTCTTGGTGTAGGCAACAACAGCTCAAATAAACCCAAAGGTTTGCTCTCCTCAATTACGCTGAACTCAGGAGATGTTAGTTTTTCTGGAGGGAAGTTCGGGAGGACCAGCAGGTCTCCCCCCAGCCCGAGCACTAGCAGGACTTGCGTGGAGCACTGCCGCCGTAAATCAGCCCCTCTCAGCAGAGCAGCGCAGCTCCATTTGTGCTGGCTTTCCCAGCTCTTTGAACTGTTTTGTGTTTTGGGAAACTGTGCTGTAGCCATTCCAGGTGACGTTGGTAACTAGTTGTAAAATACTGTCTTTTTTTATTGTCATTGCTTGTATAGAGGAGTTGGTGTACAGTGTTGTACAGCTGGAGGGTTATTTGTACATAGGGGGGAAGATGAAGAACGTTGTGTGTCACCCACAGCAAATATTGATGTTGTTGGTCAGCCAAAGATTCTTTGCTGTTTAAACTTGTGCCTTAATATTGTATATAATAAATGTGTAAACATGTCTCTTTTCTCACTTTTCCAGTGTGGCTATATTCAGTCCCCAAGAAGAAAGTACTTTTTAAACAATCCTCTAAGCTTTGCACACAACGTGGTAAGACTAAGAAGGGAAGCCTCGGGGGCTTTAAGGTTGCGTCCCCTCTGTTTTTCATCGCAGTTGATGGAAGGCCCCACAGCAGGTGCCATCGGTATGAGTATCTGGGCAAGAAACCAGCGTGTCTGCAGAGCAGAGGGTCACACTGGGGGCTGTGCCAGGCAAGAAGAGCAGGATTTTAGCGAGATCATCTTCACCTGAAGGAAATGAGGGTGGAAAGGTAGCGAGACACTCTGGCAAAGATCTGAAGATCCTTCAGCCCTGCATTCCCGCGAAGCGTAGCACTCCCGTTGGTACTTTGGTTATTTTTTCTTGAGGGTCTGGGGCTGCTTTGTTTGACAGGTGTTGGATCAGCGTGAAGGAGATGCCTCAGTAGGTTGTAGATCTGGAGATCTTGAATTACTGTAACGTCCTCAGTAAGGAATACAGATCAGATCCCATTTCAAGCTGCTCTGCGGGCAGAGGGAGTGCTCCGGCCCGGTGGAAATGCTGCCCGTATGTTTGCTTATGCAACTGAAATAAACTGGGGGAGGGGAGCAGAAGTTCCCCAAGTGTCTGGCTTTGAGTAAGGGAGGTTTGCTCAGCAGGCTCTCACATGCTCTTGGAAGTGCCTGTTAGAAGATTCCTGAATCGGGTCCCGGGGAGCTGCAGGCACGCAAGGTGTGAAAGCCACTGAGGGCATCTCTCCCCTGTGGCCTCTCCTCTGCCTGCCCCAACCTCCTCTCCCCAAACCCTCACAGGCAGTAAAAACCCAACTTGCCCTGGGCAGGAGTGTGTCAGCAAGGACCCAGGGCTTTCGCAGAAACTCAGGCAGCGGTTTGCTTCACCCACATCCCAGCACCTCGTGTTCCTCGTGCAGGCGCAGGTCAGCCTGCTCCATCTGATCACTCCGTCTTCAAGACGCGGCAGCTGGAAGTATTTCTAGTGCCCTGTCACTTTGCCACCAAGAACAAAGCTTTGGTTATTGCTGAGATTGTGGCTTTTCAGCTTTCTTCAAGTCGAGATTTGACAGTAAGATTTGGGGCTTAGCTTGGTTTTTCAAGGCCATGAGAGGAAAGAAATCAAGAAATGCAAAACCAGTATTAGGGTGGGGAAACCCTCATGGCTGGCTGTGCTCAGGTATGGCAAGAAGGGGGTTTATCCCATTTCTGGGTCATGTCTTCAGCACCGATGCTCCAGCCAAAAACCAGGAACATGGCTGCAAGGCCGTCTCCAATTTAGGTACATTTTGCATGTTTAACTTCAGGGGGAAAAAACCAGCACAAAGAAGCAAACTTCAGCGTCAGTTTGTTTCAACACGAAATCTCTGATGACCGTGTGTTCCCAGAAGTGAGTGCTGAGCAGTGGGCTCCTTGCTTACCACGTACAGGGGGAGAGCTCAGGAAAGCTAAAAATATTCACAAAATTGCCATTTACAGGCATTCAGAAATCACGAGTCAAGTCTCAAAACAAAGAGACGTTTTTAGGATTTGCTTGGCTTCTGTACAGCAGCGACAGCTCTTCTGCTCCGGTTTGTTACCGTATTGGGGGCTTTCTCTTCCCTGCGCGTGGGAACAAACGTGCAGACAGCGGTGAGGCGCGTTCTTGGGGAAAACCTGTGACTTCTCACATTGTTTAACACCTCTCAGAGCTGGACTTACGGCACGCTGCGGTGAAACACACGCAAAGCGCAGGCATCCCTCACCGGAGGGAAGGATGCTGCCGGGTGCCCGCTCGCCGCTGGGATCCCCAGTCTGGGCTCTGGATGCAGCCCGACAAAACAGGCTGGGTATGAGCATCACTCTGGGTTCCTGGGCCACCCTTAGCGGGGTTTGAGCACCCCAGTGGGTTTCTGGGCCACCCTTAGCTGGGTTTCAGCATCCTGATGGGTTCCTGGGCCACCCTTATCCAGGTCTGAGCATCCCACTGGGTTCCTGGGTCACCCTTAGCGGGGTCTGAGCACCCCACTGGGTTCCTGGGCCACCCTTAGCTGGGTTTGAGCACCCCGCTGGGTTCCTGGGCCACCCTTAGCCAGATTTCA